CGTTGACAAGCTGTGCATTGACAGCTGCGCCGTATCTACGATCAACCAGTCCATAAATATTTCTTCCAGCGACTGGGCACTTTCTGACATGTCCTGTTGTAAGGTCACAAGACAGCGGTCTGGCTCTGTTTACCTTAGCTGATAACGGAACGTTTGCAGTGCTACTTGAGTAGATGAGATATAACATATTGGTCTAACAGCGTTGACGAGTTTGCGTTTTGCCATATGAATTTCTGGCTGTTGTTGCCGTTGATTCGATTTTTACGAATATGGGCTTAAGGCAGACGCAGGAGGAAAGATTTGATGTTCCTAAGTTTCTATGGTACAAGGATGTAAAATATTCGAATCGAGTAGGAAGGCCATTGGATACTGGATGGAATACTGAAAAAAATTGCGCGAATAAAAGTTGCGAATGAATTTCCATTAAGAGATTACATTGAAGCTCTGTGTCCAAGGTCGATCAATCAGGTTCCGTGAGTGGTGTTCGTCCTGACTGACTGCCGATCGGCCGATGTGACCAAAAACCCAAGTTTTCAACCAGCCGGCAGAAGGTTGATTTGCTGGCGATTTCCACCAAGGATGAAACAGTTTTACAGTGTTTCTCGGGTTTCTCCCTGAAGTAACGCCACTACTACTTATTGACACTTAACTAATTTCCTCTCACCGAATTTCCTCATCCAAACGTTGCTCCGGGCATTCGATGAAAACAGTTGCCGCTCTCGCTACAGGTTCAAAAATTTCGAGCAGGCAAGATCCTTGTACTATATCTGAAAGGTACTAATCCAGAATTCGCTCCTACTTGTAGACACGGATTATCACTGGTGAAGAATGGAATACGGGTTCCAAAATATCTGATATCTCAGCCAACTACGCTCTACTGATTTTGATAAGATGGTTTTTGTAGCGGCTAAAAGTGCATCTTTGTCAGAAACCCATTGCGACCCACTAAGAATGTTTAGCCCTAAAAGTGCAAACAAAATTTCTGTCCATAGATAACGTCTGATCCCCAAAGTTTTCACAAATTTGAGAAACACTGATATTGCGTAAATATCAGAGACTCTTCTGTCTAAAGGGAAGCTGTCTAAAGTCTTGTTACTGGTGTTCTCAGTATTCTACTTACTTAATTATAGTGCGTTTGCGAGCTAGGCCCCTGTAGTGTCGCAGAAACAGTGAAGTCTCATGACATCTAGCGGTAAGCAAAATGCTGACTGGGTTTAAGGTAATTGCCTTGTTCCAAACAGATGTTATGAACTGCGACCACCTCAAACACCCTGCTCTGGAAGCAGTTTCTTCCATCAAAAAGTGCTTGCATCTGCTGAACAGTTGCAATGGAAATAAATGAATTTAGCACCGTTTCGAATAATTTGCCTTCGCAAGGTATCTGATCCTTCATATTTCGTCTTTTTTCGCAAATTCATAACGAATCACGTTGGCAGTGGCTCTGTTGTACGTTGACTTGTGGACAGACCCGAGTGCGCAGAATATATACTAGGTACTAAAATAGTTTTCTTCGAATGTGTCATCGGAACTTCTACAATTAATTTTAATTCTTGGAAGACGGTGCGATTCCGTGGAAAACACCGAATACTTTTTAGATGTCCGTCATATTCATGGGGCGGCGCATTCAAAAAGGCCACCCTGAGCCAAAGGCAACTTCATCTGAACATCAAGCTTCCCAAATTATGTAAACCTCATAGTTGCAATACACGCAACGGTTGCCTCCCCCAACATTATTGGAATGGGACTGACAGGGGAACCACGCTTATGGTGTGAGCAGTCAGTAAGTCGGTGAATGCTACGTTCGTCTAGAAAACGTCATCACAAAAGACAGTATCGACAGAAAGTTGATACAATTGAGTATCAACCATGGTTTACAAAAATGACGCCATAATGTTGGTCATGCTCATAGTTTTGATTAAAACAAAGCGTCTCGGTGCCCCGTAAATTTTCCTCGGAAAAGTTGGCTGGGTTTTACGACTTCCACCTGGGCTGGTCAGGATGTTGCATCCGAGTTGAAACGCCAAATACTACTAGCGAATTCTTCCGTGCGTGTTCGTACCGTGTACATCTAAGGTTTCCTGTCAACATTCAGGCTATTGGAAACTTCAGATAATACTGATGAACAGTCAGCAAAAAATGAACATATATCATTACGCCCAAAAAAGTTCTGCCAATATTTATCCCGATTAGATGCTCCAAAATGAGAATTTCTCAACTTATTCGGCGCTCTGGATAGTGTGGTTGAAGCCTCAAGAAATAACCGGTTGCGTTTACTGCGTTGAGCGTTTTGTGCACCAAATGTGACGATCACACACTGCATGACCTTGTCATCAAATTGGCAGGACCGCCGCAGATCCAGAGTGGCAGGACCGTGAATTTATTGACACTCCTAACAAGCACGCAAGTGGCCAATTCTAGCCGAAGGAATTTGTTTAGAAACAAATCTACTGCGAGTGGATTTTTCAGTTTCGGGCTATTTGCTGTATCGTGACTTTGGTGTATTGCTTGTAAACGAAAAACCCCAAATTTCACATGTTCATTGATTTGTTGTTGAATTGTTGAATTTTTTTGCAGCGTATAACCACCCAGAAAGGATATTTTCCCGGGAAGTCAACAGCTGCCTAAATTGGTCTGAGTAAGAGTAAATAGTAACGACCTCGTCCAAGAGCAATGTTCAGTTGTTACATCATCTCCTCCATATACTGGCGCCTCCGATTCTACGTAAAAGATTATATTAACTTTTCTATGAAGGGAAATGTCCGTAGCTCAGGTAGCGTAGATGGTGATTGTTGGCTTGTTCGCTGAACTGGGCACTATGATTACAACGGTGGGTGTGCAGAACCACCAACCCGCCACTACGCACAACTACGCTCCCCAATAACGCACTGATGATGTCACCTCGATTGGTGATGAAACGTTTGCAATCAAATTGCCCAGCTCAGCGAACAAACCAACGACCACCATTATATTAACTCAAATAGTGGCCGGTTAGCTAAGCTTGTCAGGTGGCATCGGTCGAAATAAGCTTGAGACGATGCCCACTCCAGCATAACAAACGTCACTGTATTCTGGAGCATCAGAAGACAGTGTAACCAAAAGTGAACTAAAACCGTTGGGTAGGTTAGTTCAACAACCTCGCATTGGTCTCTAAACCTTGTTCCACAGAGGCAGCAAACATCCAGAGGAGCGATTTCAGCACACACAACAAGGCAGTATGTTCTGCGGCTTCTCTCAGAAAAAGAACGTTAGAACTGCCCGATGAACTGCAGGCAGGAACCTGAACAAGGATTTCAAAAACGTTTGCGAGAATGGTGACCGTCTTAATGGCAAATAGTGCAGCTAACGACAACAGGCTGTAAGGAACAAATCTACGGAACTGTCCGAAACAATGGAATTAGGAGCAGGAGGGTGAATATGTGATAGAAATCGAGGACGTCGGCAATGACCAGTGTTTCTTTACACTCCCACTGTATGCAATGATTAAGTTACCACTCCCTTCCCCCCGATAGGATGATTTGATTGCCGAGGTGCAACAATTTGTGTAACTGTGCTGTTCATGGTTATACGTAGGTTTTTGTACTCTATGGAAAGCGATGGTTCTTGCTGTAAGACAGCCAGAGTAGTCTGTACGTTTAAAGAGTTAGTCGCCACTCACGTGCCAACTACAGTCTGGGGGATCAGAAGGCTGCTAGTTGGGCCTTCACCTATTAGCTAACGTAATTATTTTCGCTCTCCTTGTGCACATCGCTTTGTAAACGCGTTTAGAATAGTAAGTACCTAGAAAAAACTTGTTCCTTAACAACTTTTGTACAAACCGATCGCTGCTCTAAGATGAATACAAATACCCGTGAAAGTTGAAAGTTTCAAAATGACAGCCACCTATTGAGGTTTGTTGGAGCAGCGGGAATTTGTCAGTTGACGGATGTATTTCGCCGTCAGTCTTGCCCTACCGCCACGCGGTCAACAGTGAGTTACGTGATCACTTCTTATTCGTTTACTCAAGTTGACCTTGAGTTGACCGAACTCTGTTCACTGTCACTATCAGGTTTGTCAATAGCTGAAGGCCGGTCCGCTATGTCGCCTAAAGCGTGGGCCCGAATTTGCGTGACCAAATAAAACCAGGCCGCTAACAGATGGATTAAATATATTTACTGTATCACCTGTCTTTTGTCAGTGGCTGCGGATAGTTCAGTTGGTAACATTTTACTGAAGAAAACAAAACAACCACGCTGTGATGCATTCGGCCACTTTATTAAAAATCTCTATTGCCTGTTTTGTTCTACAGTTTTTCCTCGCTTCCAAGCATCTGCACCCCAGCGCATGCATCAATGATTTCCTTTCGGCAGTTGAGGCATAATAAACCAAAATCGCTCGTGATAATGGTGGCATAAGCGAAGCGTGGTTGATTGAGTTCGATACTGGGATAATAACAGTAAACCTGTGAACATGTTGGCCATTCGACGTAGCAGTTTGCCACACGCCCTCTGGCTGTGACACTGCAACCGCCCACCTTGTATTGGCAAGCTGATGGTATTGTAGGTAGACTGTAAAGGCAGTTTTTTTGATGACAAATAAATGAGGTAGTTTGTATATGACTGAATCAAGATAACTACAGTTTGCCAACCTGTTCATTCGTTAATTTTAGAAAAATATCACTGGTCGTGAACTCGTCAGCTTGTTGTTCGTTTAGCAGTTCCTCCTATCACGGTAGCATACATTGTCTGATTCACTTAAAGCAAATCGGTCCAGTCGACAGATAACTTCATTCGCGTACTACTTTGATTTGTACGGAAAAGTCAGTTGAATCCCAGCTGAATCTCCCAAATATGATGCTCCGAACGTTCTGAACAGCCCCATGAGAGAGGGATTGAACTGAGATTCAGGTGATTTCCTCATGAAAACAGAATGGGTGTGCAGATGAGCGGATCTGTTGAAATTCGTGGGTTAAAGTGGAACATACGGTTGACCAAAACTCGGTGAATGCGCCAAAATGATGAACCCTAAGAAGGACAAAACCAGTGATGGGCTGTCGAAGATTCTTCGTCAATGTTAAGAGCAGTGTCTTGCGTCCCTAGGATGAATTCGATTGGATGTGAATCAAACAAGTGATGGGCTCTCAAAGATGGGCTGTCAATATTAAGAGCAGTGTCTTGCGTCCTTGGGATGAATTCGATTGGATGTGAATCAAACAATATTTTGCTTCCGTTGTTGTGATTGGTTTGACTTTGCTTCACACTGCGTGGTAGTCCGTATGTGGTACGATTAGCAAAACACCGTATATGCTTTAGATCTTTCTGAAACTGTGATCTTTAGAAAGGCACAAAAGGACAATTTTTGGTGACCACTTCAACTTATGATAACGTGGGACCATAAGTCGACAACAGACATTGATACGTACTTTGTCCAAGATTCCTTCAGCAAAGTCGAAACTCAACCCGAAAACTAAAATTAAACATAGAAACGTTGCATTAAAACGGACAACGATAAAATTTAATTAGAATTCACAACCAAGCGAAAGATAAACCCATAAATCACACTGTAAATCAAGGCGATGAAATGGAAGCGCACCAAGAAAAAAAGAAATCCATTTAATAAACCAACGCCAATGGATAACACAACAGGACTCGCGATTGGAACAACTGAAGGAAAAACAAGTTTCTATGAAAATCAGGCTCCCACTTTTTTGATTGGTAGAAACGATTGGAACAAATCATCTTACAAAGTGCCATCTAAGCACTCGGATCACGAGGAACAGGCGATCGGCGAAACCGAGGTATGCTAGTGGCTCAACATTCGGGCTTTCCGCTCACATCATTCAAGTGCAGACACGTTCAACTGTCCAGACGCGGAAATTCGGGTGCGTCCAGCGTGCGCCAGTGATACGCTTGCCTCGCGTATAAAATATGCAGAGTTCAACTCCCGGCAGAGCCTAGGATACGCACTGGTGATGAACTCGAATAAGAGCGATATTTGAGTCCAGCGCCTTCTTCCGTTGTATCGACTCAATAGTATGGTTGCTCTATAACAGTAGGATAATGTTTATAAAAAGAGCTATGCAAGTGTGCATTCTAAAGTAGTTTTTTCAATCAGTCCAAAGATTAATGATTACCGGAAGAATCAGAGGTGGCCGCCGAGGTGCTCTCTGTTGGCCTTCCCTCTCTCGGNAAAGAGCTATGCAAGTGTGCATTCTAAAGTACATTTTTCAACCAGTCCAAAGATTAATGATTACCGGGAGAATCAGAGTTGGCCGCCGAGATGCTCTCTGATGACCTTCCATCTCTCGATCGACAAGTGTACGTACGACAATTAACAGACCCAATTACACGCCGGAAATCAATACACGAAAGCCACCTTCCTTTATTCTGACGTTGTGAAACGTGCTTTACGCCCTACCTTCCACTTACAGTAAAAAGACTGATTGGTTGTAAAGCTGCTGGGCTTATTGAAACATCATACGTGCTCTTTCGTACTAGTTTCACTCGTAGGTTCACTAACCAGCGGCCCTGATTTCTTGACGTTGGGAAATATCTTATATTCCAATGAGACAGTTCGAAGTGAACGGGGGTTTTTGGTAACGCTACTTTCGTTAAAAAAGAGCGAACGAAATACTAAAGGGACGTCATATCGTATAGGAAAATACTCACAAGGTTGCTGAAAATCCGTCGACAGCCCACGACCGGTTTTGCCCTTCCAATTCGGGCTAATCAGGTAGGCACAGTCCCCGAGTTCCCGTCAACCTTAGGTTCTACTTGAACCCAAATTGGACTGCCAACTGAGTCATGAGGCGGCCTGTGTGCAACACATTCAGATGTAGAATATTATAAACGAGAGATTCAGTTGAGTCTCTCGCGAAAACCAAATTGATTGGCAAATTAGTGTAGTTCACGTATACTCCACGTTTTACCGGAAAGATCATTCTTACAGAGGTTCAGGGTCTATCTGATGTGTTTAACAAAAGATATTTTGCTAATAAGGTTAGTTAATTAACCCAGGCGCGCTCGTGACACGTAGGATGAACCAACCCAAAATATGCCTATTCTGCTAATAAAAAAGTCGGATGGTTAAACTCGCTTTCGAAATCCTAGATAGTGGTGAGCAGAGTGTTTAGATTGTACTTTATATCATATACTTTATCATGTACTTTATATCATGGTGTCCTTCTTTAAATGTTGCCACAGCTAGATATTCTTTCTTTATAAAGACCACCAAATATATGTGGTCCCCAGATTCATCAACAAGGGTGTTGAACGGAAAGAAAGGATTCTTAACATGTTGGTTGTTCACAGTGCCCTGGGTTAGTTGAAGCGCCGACCAGAAAGCAGTTTCATTTGCAATTTGAGGATTCTGTCTTCATGTGCACCATTTATTTACATACTTGGGTTTGTACTATAAAACGCAATTGTTTCAAAGAAGACCACATAAGACCTACTCCGCAGTGTCAACTTTTTGGATCCAAGAATGTCATTTATCGGTGTTTATGCTGACTAATAATTCACGGTTTCTAGATACATTTAACTTTTTTGCTGACCGCAGTTCTGTCAATAACACTACCATGATGGATTTCATATCTCCAAAAAACGGAACGTATGATATGAATTCCAATCATTCTAATATGCTTCGATCCCTTGAGCAATAAAAATGTCAGGTTCGATAAATTTCTTTATCTCACCTAAAATAACGTCCAAAACAGTTGAGCCAAATCACGAAATCACAGACTGATCAAAAAGCGTTTTCTTCTTGTTTTGGAATCCCTGATAAAAAGCTGTTTGTATTCGGTACGCATGACGCACTAAACAAAACTGCACGAGATTTTTTGAATGAATATTTGATTTGCCTAAAATACTTGCTTTTTAGGCCTGAATAACAACTTTTACGAAAGCTGAACCAAACTTAGTGTTGAGAAAACACAGTGCATTTAATGTATCTTTCAACCCAAGTTTGTTTATAGAAAAAACACCGTGATACTAAATTAGGTATGGATATTTCCCCTAAAACTTTGGCTGGATTTGCTATTGTTACTTCTTAAGGAAATGTCACAGAAGTAGTGTAGGACATGCAAGAAAGGAAATTCGTATAATGGCGTATTATGGCCGCCTTGTGTTCACGATGTTGCGCTGCCCATCTGGACACCGGGGACGGCGTCTCATTTTGATTGCCTTCACTGAGTGAGTAACTCTCAGGATAGTCCCTTGTTTTGTTCGTCAACATGTGGTCGGTCACATGACTCTCGTGTTGAGCACAAATGCCTGCGTGGTTTTTCAAGCCATTGAGGAGGAAGATGGCCCGTTTACTTCGGAATATAAGAGAAGCTTAATTCTGAAGAAACAGTAATGAGCGATGAGCAACATCGCTGCTGTGTTGAGGATGCTGAGTTTCGAGTTGACGGGTGCCAAAAGATCTTCACATCTGCTGAAATGTTGTTACAGTGGTGTCTATGCCCCACACTTTGTGCTAAAATTGCTGGTGCTGACAGCCATGATATGTAAAAGTCTGGTAATCGGCAAAAATGTTTGAACTAAACCTTTTGGGATTTTAGATGCCTATTCCGCCTTGCAGTGTTCCAACGATGCAAAGAGTCCCTGACAAACAGAACGCGCATCCGAGCTCCCTGAAAGGTGGAAGTGGTTGGTTCGGACGAAACAATCCACTACTCGTTTCTATCCATCCAGAAAACCAGTAGACTTTTGACGCCTTGTGTGTTCAGCCTCGAAATAAGCATACAATTATTTTTTAGTATAAAATATGGACGCGAATTTTGACACGAAAAATTAGACATAGCCACATCGGTGTTGACGTCGTTGAGTAGTTGGTACATTACAAATCTACGTTTCTCATTTCAGCACTCCCGCAGTTAGCTAAAGAATAACTTACTCACATTTAGCCCAAGATAAGTTTGGGATCTATACGTGAACTAAATGGAGGTACCCAGGGCAAAACGGTGCCACCCCAGCTGCATCGAATGGATGTAAAACGCCTGATCTTCTTCAACACCTCTACCAGTTTAGAGTTGAGCCCTATGTGTCTCTTCCGACAACGCGTTATCGTCCCGGAGTGGCCACATTCGTCCACCTGTAGAGTTTTCTTCAGCCTTTAAAAGGTATATGGTCAAATAGTAGTTGGTGCAACAGTTTTATAATTGACCTGCACGCTTTTTCCATTAGGGTTATTATTTGTCCGACTTCATTCAAAAGGACCAGCGCAGGAACGAATTTTTTTCTACAAATACCACACGTCATCAGATGATGCAACTCCAAAAAGAAGTTAGGTTGATCGTGAACATAATCAGAGAGTTGTAAGTGCTAGAACCTTGGAGATTCAAACTCTTCCGGCTGGTGTCTCAAGTTTTTCCATTTGGAACTCCTAAGAATATGGGTAGAAATTTGGGTTTTTTTCTCATAAACAATGTGCAAGTACTGGGTACTTGAAGAGCAACGCTCGTTTTTGTAACGTTACTAAAACGCGTGGGTAACCCTTGCATTTTGTTTCGAACCAAGACTTGTTCGCCTCTTTGCCCAAACTAATTTGACAAAGGTAACGCTGTTTTGTTAAGTCTGGTTGATGTCGGAGAGTGCACAACAGGGTTATATTTAGACTAGCGTTTGCGAAATAGTGCGATGAAAAAACAGTGTAACCTATAATCAAAGGGTTTGCACAAAACACCCTGCAATGTTTCATTTGTAAGTGTAGCACAAGTGAATGTTACTGGAGGTAGGTAAGTCATACCTTCACCTGAACACATATTGACGAAAAATAATATTACAAAAATTGTGTTCATGAATGGTTCAGTCGGCACGGTTTAAGCCTTAGTCTACATAAGTTTTCCTTGGAGCATCCACAGAACACCCGACTTACAGTATGAGGCATAAAATCTGATGGTTCTAAACGAGAAAAAACGGCCCTGCAGCTCGTTCAATATTTTAAAGTCCGCATTTTAAAGGTCCGCATTCGAAGATGAAGTGAATGAATAAAAACTGCTAACTATATGCTCTGATTCCCATTTAGATCATCAGAGTATACATTTAAAAAACTGCAGGTCTTTATCAAATACAGATTGGTCGACCATAAAAGTTCAAAGAGTATGTCCTCCATCTTGAAAGCAATGAATGAGTTCTCGAAAATCAACGCATTGATCCTAGTGTTGCTGCGTTTTGTTACCTAAGCGTTCAATGCAACTGCCAGTTTGTAAAATACTAATCTAATTTATTGCACTGCTGAGTTGTTATTCTGTTGCTATCAACCTGCTTGAAACAAAAGGTTGGCACCAAATGAGGGAATTCAGCATTACTTCGTTCTAAGGTGAGACGGCAAAGGTGACTTGGAACGTACAGCAGTAAACAAGTATGCGAAAACTCGCAGGTCGCAATATACTTAAAACCTATGGAGTGTATCTTTCATCAGGGACTCTTTGAGAGATACTGCGACCTCTTAGCAATATTGTGGAATGTAGGTAGCTCGGGTGCGCTGTTTGGTTGTTGGTCTGTTCGCCGAGCTTGGGAGTTGGATTGCAAACGTTTCATCACCAATCGAGGTGACATCGTCTGTGCACGGTTGAGTGGCTGATCCGTCAACACAACCAAAACAGAGGGAGATTACGCTGCCGTGTATCAGAAACTGCACGACATCTACGGCAACATGGAATTGCAGTCGCCTTCAAGCCCATAAACCCGTTGAGAAGAACTCTCTCGAAACCAGAGGGAAGCTTGGATGCATTGAAGAAGATTAACGTGGTCTACAAACTGAAGTGCAACGACTGCGACAAACACTACGTTGGCCAAACGGGAAGAAACCTTGCTACCAGAACATAAGCTTGCCAGCAGAAGACATGACCCAATGTCACTTGTCTCAGTTCACCAAGACAGAGAACTGCACGTAGAATACTTGCTCATACAAGAACAAAACGGGAGCGAGAATTTGCCGAGGCGTAGTACTCCACACAAAAATCGACCATTAACCACATCGACACTGACCTAGTCTATCGGCCATTATGAGCAAAAGAACCACACGGTCACGGGATTCTGAGCCAAGAAACCTAACGACAGCCAACGGACCAACTGGATCAAAGGAAGGCAATCACTAAAAACAGAAGGCCACTGCCAATTAGGGGAACAAATTCAGACCACAAAGAAAGAATAAAACGGCCGAATCACAACAGAACAACCGCACACAAAACTGCCGAAATGAATGCGCCCAACGAACCAACCAGACACAGGAGATTGAGACCACGTCAGTTTCACAGGAGAGCAATCAAACCACGCGAAGACCGTTTACAGAACTACCAGATACTGTTTAGAAGCTATATAATCACGGACAGAAGAGGAGGAATTCACCACTCAACCCAGCACTGACGATGCCACTTCGATTGGTGATGAAACGTTTGCAATCCAACTGCCAAGCTCTGCGAACAGACCATCAACCAAATTGTGACCCCTATTAAGGATTTTTATGTAAGAGACCAAGTAGAATTCTACCATGTTAACGAAATCACGCCATAACTGGAAGTGTTTAATCCTGAAATACATCTCGCTGAAGCAATGTGGAATTGAATGTGTCATGCATTCATTGCGAGACGATTTTGTACGCATATCTGTTGGTTTTGATGAGCATTCAAAAAGACTGGCGTGATCTGTGCTTTGGCCATGAGGTTATGTGGAACACAGTATTCTGTAACCCAATTGTTTCTTGAACTGGCTGAATTTAGACGTTGGTTCTTTTCAAAAAACTTCCATGGTGCTGACCGTCATGGCGCCTTTGAGTCAACGTATGATCGTATTATCTGGATGTCCTGCGTACCTTGATTTATTTCCTAAGACCATAATCTGGATATCACTCTTCGCCTGGTTCACGTTTGCGTAGGAAACTGTGGGCTCGAAGTGGAAATACAAATTGCTATGTGGTTTTCTGAAATTTCTGAAAATATTTCAGCCTTAAAAAAAGAGTAGGTTTAACACTTCTGTCTTATTCCACCTAACCACGGTTCGGTTGATGCGAGTTGACAACGCATGCACCAAGGTTTATCTGAAACGTTACTTCTAATCAGCATGATCGTAGATGACCTCCTAAACTGCCCTGAGTAAGTCGGAAAACGCCTCAACGTCCACACCTCCATGTCACCAATCTACGTGGATTAGCTAACCGAAAGTCACGGGCGTTCCGCTGCTGTCTGTCACAATGCGAAGAAAATTAGTCTGTGCACACCAGACTGAGAAAATAAACATCAAATTAGGTGACAAAAACGTTTCACGTAACCATGGCAATGAAAGTAATGGTCTCAAAGTAGAACGATGTAAAAGTCCAGCAGTAAAAGCATCTAAAATCATGGACGTTTTGGAGCCTGTGCGATGGTCCTCAGGAGAACATAAAATAGACATGAAAAGATGATATTACAACGACCGGATAAAGTAGCGTGCTCGTTGTATGATTCCGGGACGGTTTAGAACGCAGAAACCATTCTGGCAGCGCGAGGAGCAAGAACATAAAATTTTAATTCCTCAAAATCTCACGCAGGCACGCAAGTTTGGATTAAAAACGGATATGTGACGATAAACCGGTGTGAAATCCCAAATATTGATTGATTTTAGACTTGCTGTTTTGCTAAAAAAAGTAGTTTTCATATAAAAATAAAAAAACGCACTCAACCGGATTTTACAATCATTGAGGTAATAATTCGGCCGAAATCTTGAGTGTTTGGGAATAAATGCCAAGATATCTTCAACGATATGAAATGTACTTTTTGTTTCATTTCCCCGATTAGTACTACTACCCTGCGTCGTTTTCAAGCTATGGGTCACGCCGCATGGGTTGGTTATGACAATGGTTGTAGGTTCGTACAGAGAAAAAGCATGATCTAAACACAGTAACTAACCCGATTAGGAATGGAAGACTATTTTATTTAAAAAAAACATCTGCGTAGATTTTCTAGCTATCCAGACGCGTTTTATTTATGGGGATTCGACGGCTCGACGGTCACCTAATCTTGTGTCTTTTTTGGGCCACCTGACAGCAACCCACGATAATCAGTTTGCTGGTAAAAATGCTAATAAACCCAGGCAAACTATGGTAGAGAATACAGGTTTATCATTATTTATAAAATTCCAGAGAAAGGACGTGGTTCTAATAACTGCTCAGTAGATACTCTGCTGATCAGTGCGGTGCCAGCAAACAGACAGACGGACACTGTAGTAATCGAACTGCCATTTGTACAAATTGATCGACAAACAGTTCCTTCAGGAGCGAAACCGGTTGTTTCACGTTCAGGTAACAAAGTTAGAGGGCAAGATGTATTCGAAATTTCAAAACGAGGGAGCATTAACTACTCGTGTCTTGTGTACATTTGAATCCTGTTACGCTGGTTTGGTAGCCCGCTGCCTTGTAAATCTAAGATGAATTAGGTCGTGTTGGTTTGATATGGTTACCTGCTACACTATTTTCTGAGAGTTTTGAAGGTAACAAATTCTTCGCATCTAAAATGGAAGCACTGGGAGGAAGCCACATGTTCCTGTTAAAGATTGTAGATAAAACCTTTCAATAAAAGTGTTTGGTCACGCGAAACTACGATATGACGTTTTCACGAGAGACTCAACTGAATCTCTCGTCTATGCTATTCTACAACTGAATGTGCTGCACACAGGCCGCCTCAGTTTCATGTTTGGGTTCAAGTAGAACATTGTGTTGACTAAAAACTCGGGGACTGTGCCTACCTGATGAGCCCCAAGCGGGGCAAAACCGGTCGTGGGCTGTTGACAGATTTTCAGCAACCTTGTGAGTAGTTTCCTTTATGGAGTATAGTGTTTAGTAACATAAAATCACGGTTGATTTTGGAGAGAGGTTGGCTTTGGTGAAGTGTCCTGATGTTTCACGAAATACCTGTAAAGCGATATCCCCGAAACCCTTCAGAGGTTGTGTTTGGTGGACAGGCGTGTGTTGTTAGAGAAGCTCCTGGTTTGGTAACATGCATGTGAGATTCTTTAGGGCTTAGTGGTATAAGTTCACGGTTGATTTTGGAGAGAGGTTGGCTTTGGTGAAATGTCCTGATGTTTCACGAAATACCTGTAAAAGCGATATCCCGAAACCCTACTCAGATAGATCCCTTCAGAGGTTGTGTTTGGTGGACAGGCGTGTGTTGTTAGAGAAGCTCCTGGTTTGGTAACATGCATGTGAGATTCTTTAGGGCTTAGTGGTATAAGTACAAGCGTTTTCCTTTTGAATTTTTCATAAAAAGCAGTCATCTTCACTCACGCCCCTAATATATTACCGGCCTGCCCACAAGACATCTCACGTGTAGCTTCGTTCAGCTGTGCCGGAAAATTGTCTCCAACGGGGACTCTGACAACGTCATAAAAACTGTCCCTTCACTTCCGAAACTTTGAGCTCCTTCAAAATTAACTGGTCTATTCATTACGGCACTAACATCTAAAACTGCGATTATGTCCCTCCCTGTGAGTTTTGAAAAATATCAAAATCGATTTTCTAACACTGCTCAAAATTTATCACTTCTGAATTCCCAAAGTGCGTTTTTCGGAGACAAATTAGAAATTTTTACAATATCAAACCTGGCAAGTAAGAAATGTTTGATGAGGATCACTAATACGAAATCAGCTACTGATGAACAGATAAAATAATCTCCAATCTTATTGCAAACAGGAAGACAGAATTTTTGAGTTTCTGCCGGAGATCCAAAATCTGAGACAATAAATGAAGCAACACGGATATCGATCATGCTTTGAAGTGCTTTCGGTCTAAGGCTGTAGTCGACTATTTGTAGGATCAAAGCGATTCGTTTTACTGATTGCTCCGTGATTTATTACTCCGCCATATTTACTCCTTCGCTTCTATTCTCCGTGATCGTCAGTATTGTTGTTCCGCGGACAGAGTTATTGACAAACCGCACCACTGTTTCGGTCAGCAACAATTGGTACGGTGTTTCAGTGTCTCAGGCTTATGGTCACCGTCTCTAAGGATGTCATTTAAACTTTATAAGTAACTCTTCCTAAATATATCAGCTGACGTTTGGTGTAAAGCAGTTTACTTATCACCTGATATGGTATGAACATTTTCGCGCACACAGGATTGACCAATACAAGTTTTTCAATTTTTTGTGCATGCTTAGTGTCTCTCACTTTGAAACAGAATTCAGTTTTTGATTCATAAATCGCCTAGATGTTGCACTTTGTTTGGTCAGTGTTAGGTCTAAATGATTCTCTTTGGTCATATTTGCTACTGCGAAGAATTTCTAGCTTGAGCTTCTGAGTTTCCTTTTTCAACGATGATACGCTTGTCACTAAAAGCCTGCAAGCTTTGCCACTCTCGCGTTCTTGTTCCCAGAGCAGTTTAATAGGCACATCAATTGTTTTCTCCCTAGAGAGTTGTAAGTCATGGCCTAGAAGGCTTTCGGTCTACTTACGATCTCATGGAAACACGCAACATTTGTTTATCTGTTCACATCAGTCTCGTATGAACAGTTGTCTTCCTGTCCTTTGCAATTATTGTGGTTAATCCCACCGAAAGGGGGGAAGCACTGGACTCGAGTTTCGCTCTTACTAGAGCTCATTAGCAGTGCATATCCAATGGCCGTGCTGGAGTTTGAACTCCGGACACCTGATATGCGAAGCGAACGTGTTACCACTATTCCACCAGCGCACGTTGGACGCATCTGAACTCTCACATTTGAACGGGTGAGAATGTTCACACTTGAGCGATGTGATTGGTATACCCGACACATCATCCGTACGACAACCCAGTAACTGTCCTAGTTGTGACGATCGATTCGTTTATTTATCGATATTCTTACCCAGAGAGGACTGAATTTTGTGTGTTCGGTCGATGTGGATCGAATGAATGTCATTCTCCGGCCCAAACACTTTTTGACGATTTCACTAAGTGATCACACTTTGGACCAGTTACACAACCATATTAGTCTCATTGTTGAAGATCATAAGAAAAACATCATTCTAATCTTACCTCATAACCATCCAGGGTTCCGTTGGACACTGTTACCACAGTGTGTATTAAAAACAACAACGTGTTAGTTATTCCGGGTGCATAAAGGACAAGAAAATTGGGTATTAACAGGCAAGATACAACTTTTTGTCGAGATTTCGTCCTGTAAGTGATGCGAATCTATGCTGAAAAGCCGAGAAGCACTGTGCTTCTCGAGATACTATTTTGTGCAAGATACTACTTTAATTCGTGATGGAACACCGAACACAAAAGCTACTGTTATCAGAGCGGCACCGGCAAACCAACGTACAAAGACGTCTTTGAGAGTCTACACAAAAGCCCGCAGTATTTAAACTTCATTTACTGTAGCTGTTTGCTACTTGGAGAGGGTTTGCTCCACAAATGGATTACTAGGAATCACAACTGTCACGCCTGTCAGTCTTGCGTTACCATACTGATATTTCATGCACCGGAAGTATAACATTCGGTTTTCTGCCACATTCACACAGTCTAGATATTTTTCATGATATTATTTCCACAAAAGACTCAAACGGAAGTTCTAAAGTCATGACCGCTGCTGAGGAAGTTGGAGTTTGTCCGCTGAACATTCATTATCTTTGCGCAACAAGCAAAATGCAGTCGCTATTTCAAAGATCAGTGTTTCATTCTGACAAATACACCCCCATTTGCATGTCAAATTGTTTTCACGGAAGCTCAACTAGATCTATCATCTATGAGTTTCATTATTATACAGATTTGTTGACTGTCTTGTTCAAAATAACCTCAGATACGGCATGGATGTAACCCTGTCTCATAGTCGTCCACACCTGTGGTTCGCTGCATTGAGGGCCGCATCTACGGGTTTTTTTTGTTTGACCATTGCTGACTGCTTCCCTCCACCCAGAAATTTGCTTTCCCCAGAAGATTTCGATAGCCAGTGAATGTGATTTGGGCGTGGTACATGATTTTAGCTGTTTGCTGACTACTGGTCAGTAATGTAACCATTGATCGCAACAAGAACGAAAGGTCCCACGCGGTTGAACCAGCCTCTTGTCCTATTCACATAACTTTTGTGAATCAGCAATGAAACTTCTTCATGTTTGAGTACCTTACAGATTAATCAATGACTGTCTGCAGCGAAACGTGTCTTTATCTTCAAATATCTAGTTTTACGTGAAGACTATTGCTTAACACAAACAAAGGACCCGTCTGACGAACGGAAAAGTACATTCTATCGAAATCGACTGTGGTTAAACATTACAGTAGAGATATTCCGGTTTTTTATCAACGTGTGAAAAACCAGTTTGCTGGCAGGCACACTGAGTGAAACAGATTCACTTTCCGGTTCGGAAAACTGAATGACGGATCACGTTTGAGTGATCAAACATTGCTTGGTGGTCTTCCAAACCCCACTCAACATCTCTTAAATTTTCTAACTTCCACAGCACGAATGCAATTTGCAAATCAATTTGGTTATCACGAGAGACTCAACTGAAACTCTCGTTTATGATGTTCAACAACTGAATGTGCTGCACACAGACCGCCTCATGATTCAGTTGGCACGATATTCGAGATATCACAGTATATTTTCGTAAAGAAATATCATGAACGAGAGATTCAGTTGAGTCCCTCGTGAAAACCAAATTGATTTGCAAATGAGTGTATTTCTTGAAAACAGTCCAATTTGAGTTCAATTAGAACATAAGGTTGACGGAAACTGCGCCTACCCGATGAGCCTCAAGAAGGGTGAAGCCGGTCGCGGGCTGTCGAAGAGTTTTCAGCAACCTTGTGAGTAGTTTACTTTACGAAGACAGTAATAGAGTTTAATTTATGTGCTTACGAAAGAGCACAAGAGACTCTTGGGTTATAAGGGATATATTTTTGACAGACAATGAACAACAAAAAGTCAGTTAACTAAACAAATGTTTTATCTCATTGCACATAGTTCATGTTTGAGGGAGCAGAAGCGAGTAGTTTCGGACCGCTACAAGCCACAAATCAACAGTTCGGATAGAACAGATCAATGAATCAGAAACCTAGGGCTTAGAATTGACTGCGTTCTCTTTCCCATCTAGAAGATCTCTCCTTTCTGAACCGTTGACTAACGGAGAAACACATTTAAGGTGGCACTGTTTCTTGGATTTACCGACCAACAATGATGCATCGAAGTTTGGCAACATTTAGTGTGTGTGTGTGTGCGTGTGTGTGGAGAACTCTCATTGCAGACATGTTGGCTGTCAGTTATCTCTAAAAATAAAGCGATAGGAGAACAGCTGCTTGGGCTCTCATCTATCCTTGCCAAATTCGTGCGGGTTCTATTTTGCAAACTGTCTGAACTAAACTGACCGGATTGACCGCTTAGTATTTTTTACCAACACCCAATTCGATTTGTATGAAGCACATCGTGACAGATTTTCGTGGTTCACAAAGCCCAGAAATGGAAAAGGTCCTATCAGCTACTGAGGTAATGATCTGAGCATCAAAGTTCCGTGATGGATAGTAATCAGCGTTTATAAAATCCGGGGATTGGAAGTTATGAAGTAATGGTTATAATGACCCAGATTTTTCGCAAATGTTTCAAATCACTTTCCGCACGCATGCAAGCAGTGAATAATCACATATTGTAATTGATGTACAGATAAGCAGTAGTACTCAGTAGTACTTAGTGCGGCTCTGCCATTTGTGTAACGTTTTGGGCTTCTGTTTGATGGCAGCATTTAACTAAAACTTTAATTACCGTCCAAGAACGTCATAGATGAACTAAATTACATGATCCCATTTTCTTTGTGAGCATAAATCTCTGCCTAAACCAGCACTTAAAACATCATAACTAATCCAGTAAAGACGGACTGCTCTTGAGAATTTTGATGTAAACAAGAAAAGTATAGAGGAATTGAACCTAGGAGTTTGGGCCACGAAGAAGTGACAGCGTATCCGATTAATTCCGGCTATTCAAGAACAAAGACAGACTTGTACAAGGACTATAATTCCAAAACGGCACCTATGATTGGATCTAGAGATTTCGGTGGCAATTCCAGCTGTAACTGTCAAAACCTAGTGTTCAGTTTTTTTTCGTTTTTCACTATTGTGTGGATTATTTAATACCCATGAAATGGGACTTTTAATTCGCCAGCCTACAGTTATCCATAGCAGTCCACATTCTGCGTCATCCAAGTGGCTGACTGAACTTCTCTATGCCGTCTAACATCCGTGAATTTATTTATGGCACAGTCCGGCATTTGCACCTTCTACGTTACAAATATGTCACGCCGTGTGGTAGGAACACAAATGTCCAACGAACGAATCAGATACAAGGGAATGAGACCATGACGCAACTTAGATTTTCAGATGACCGATCAAATTACGCGGCAAAACAATCGCTCCACAGCTGTGAGATACCGTTTAGAAACTATATGGGCACAGAAAGAATAGAGTTTACTGACGCGACTCCCCATCAACATTGTCAATTCAACTGGGGATGAAATGCTTGCAACGAAACTCCCAAACTCGGTAGACCGACCAACAACCAAGAGCTGGATTCTCTCACCAGCTCACGTCCACGCATGGATGGTTCAAACAGCGTACTCCGATTACCAGATGTCAAGTTAATTGAACATCCGGGTGATATCTTATGAACCATACACATTGCTATCTGATGGACTCAGCAAATATGATGGAACGTTTGGGTCCATTAGTCGCCGCTATTATCATGTTCCAACTAATAAAGCAGGACGTTTTGTAGTTTATTCGGGGGCATATTCCGTATTTTTTCTGGAGTCTGTTACTGAGATACGATTGTTTTTCGATGTGGTGTATTATGTTTGCCCCAGAAAGGGTGATGATTGATCGTGTCTACTTTTTATACCTGCTATTGACTAAATGACTTGAAAAATCCCTTCAAAAGTGCATTCTAAACAGCAAATCAGTGTATCCAAAAAAACATCTACGCAGCATTTTCCATCTTCAGCTGAAACATGTGTTTGTTACCAGGGTTCACAAGTTCAAGACTTATGAAAATTACATTGTTGAAGACAATTTTGGTGAGATCAGAAACAACCTGATTGACAGTGCCGTTCAGATGGATTCCCGAAAAACCTCCTCAAGAAACTCTCTCAGTACCCGAGTCAAAACACCATTTCTGTGCAAGTTATTAGCATAATTTAAAACCGTCAGCGGCACAGATTACCTCACAAAGGGAGAAAGTTTAATCACAAACCAGATCACACAGATTCAGCGTAGCGGTCATTTTTCAGCTGGTTGAAGATTCAAGGAACAAAATCGCGGCCCTCACGTTTCACCCCGCATAGACTACTCATGGAGAGCCTAGGTATTACACAACAGGACTTTTTTCATAATCGTGCTCTAAATGCTGTGGGGACACTCAACCTAGATGAAGAATTCTATCTAATTAGAAAAGAATAGGATACACATTCGGTTGAACGACCGTGTGGTTGCAAATCCAACTGGTTTCTCTGCGCAGGTAAAAC